GGGGGTGAAGGCTTCCCCAGTATCTCGCGGTGTTTAGCGAGCATGCGCAGGGTTTCAGAACCACGAAAGGAACATCAACGCGGCCTCGAAGGCGCCAATAGCAAAAACAAACGCGTTACATTTGGCGCCACAAAGACCATACGCCAGGTGCGAAAGCAGCGCCGACTTCTCCAGAATAGTAGCTGACAACTGCCGCAAACCGAATTTCAGCATATCTTAAGCAATCCCCCAGCAAGGTCTGCACAGTATTGGAAAGAGGCTGGGCCACGGAAGCGTCATCGACATCTTCTCGATCGGAGAGCATTACGGCTTTCAGTGACTACAACGGGCGATCCTCGCCCGGTGGTGTCTTGAGCAGCCTTTCAAGCTTATCAGGTGACGCCGTTTCCCCTGCAGGGCAATCTCTTCTTCGGAAAGCACGGCGCTAGGATTCTCTGCAAGCGCACGCTTTCTCTATATAGTACCTAATGCAAAAGCCCGATCCTCGAGAGTTGCCGATCCATCTCGAAGGAAAGTCGACGTTCACAGACGGCTCTAGTGTAGTCGCCTTCTGCATGTTGCTCGAGGATCTTGGCTCATACAATAGACTTCGCTTATGTTATAGTCTTTCTTCCCACGGATTACCCCTGCTCTTGTCTAGTTTATCTATGCACACGTCCCTGTTCTTCAAAGCTTATCATATGCCACAACGTCAAGCCTTGAAGCCAATGGGATGATTTTGCGTCATTCTGATGCATATCCTCTACCTATGTATTAAGAGCATTTAAAGCCTAACACAATCGCTTTATGAACCAGAAATCGTCGCAGCGATTACAATCATGGTAACAATGTAGAACGCAGCTCTAGAGGCGCCCGTTGTGGCTATCTATGCTAGAATCAGCAGGGAAGAGGAGCAGTGGTTGAGGATTGAAATTTAATGAAGACTACTCTTTAGTCGCGCTCTCATTGGCTCTGCGTTCTTTTAATCATTTAGGTATTTCAGTTATGTGCTCCCTCACCACCACTTTTAGTGAACTACAAACCTGCAACCTTCATAGGAAACGTACACGTCGACAGGCTAGAGTAGGTTGTGAACAGCACGATAGTGCTTTTCTAGCTGCGTTCTTTGCTAGCCGTTAACTCTTTTACCTATAAGGAAATAAGTAAAATAAGAATTTTTACTGTTCTATGGAAGCGCTTTCCTTTGTCCTTCCACAAAATGGCAAAATTTTCCATTCCGTTGCCACTACCAATCTGTGCTAAACTATACGAGTAGTGGTTCCGTAATCAATACCTAGGTATTGGTTATAGGTTCACAACACTAATAGTGGTGACAGCTCTAAGCCTACTATCTTCGGATATATTACCCTTATATATAAAATTACCTAGAAGAAATATATATAAATTTAATATTATATTAATAAAGTAATAAATTAATAGTCTTAATAGCTTAGAAAATATAATAACTTATAAATTTAATATTAACTATATTAGTCTAAGAAATAAAGATATAAAAGCTTTACTATCTTTAAGTCTTTCTATAAATTAAAAATTAAACTTCTTATTAATATAGCCTTAAGATCTATATTAATATATTTATATAAGAATAGTAAATAAGAACTTAAAAAAACTTCTTTAATTAATAAATATAAATAAAGAAATAATAGAATAGAGGCTATTAAGTTACTATAAGCTTAAGAAATTAGGTAAAATAAGCTCTTAATATACTAGCCTCTAGTCTAGCTAAATTCTTAGAATTTATTTTAAGTAGTCCTATCCCTTATATAGAAAAAGGCATACTCTCTTCTAGGTAATTTTAAATATAAGCTGAATTTACTATTATAGTCTAACCTAATCTTAGTATATTAATAAACAAGGTGCTATACTATCTTCTAGGATTTAAGGATACTAAAGAAATATTAGGTAATATATTTAAATAATATATTAAAGTTAGTAAGCGAAAGGGAATAGATTTTAGTATTAGGGCAGTAGTGGTAGTAGTGTTGGAGGAAAGTAGTTATTATTTAATTAAGGTTTTAAATGCTAATAAGAGAGATTAAGGGGGTTAGTGCTTAAATTATAGTTGGAAAGGGGGTTATAGGAATAGGTGCTTAGGGGTAACGAATTTTTAGCTAGTAGAAGTAAGGATAATAGTGAAGAGTAAAAGTAGAATAAGTAAAGGGCTTAAGAGGCAAGGTATAGCTATTGTTTAAGAAGTTGTATTATTAGTAGGTAATTAATACTTTCTTAAGTAATAATAAACTTATATAGATTAGAAACTAGGATAGCTAATCTAAAGTAAAAGTATATAGTTTTATAAGTCTTATAACCCTAGCGTCTAATTTACCTAATAAATAAAGAGTAAAATATAAGAATCTATATAAGTATTTATACCTAAAATTATATAAGCGCCTATAATCTAATATATCTTACTTTATATATATTTAATTACTTTAAATTCTTATATCTTTTAGTTTATAAAATATATAACTATTAACTATATAATTATAGTAAGTTCCTCTTATTTTAAAATCTTATAAGAAGGGGTTATAGAGACTATAATAAGTTCCTTTATATATATAGTGTTATAAAATAGAGATAATATAGCTATAATAGTAAACTCCGCTAATAATAATTTCCTATAGTTAGAAAATAAGAATTAAAATAGTACTAGATATTACTAGCTATAACTAGCTATAAACCTTTATAAAGAACTTCTTCTTAGCTACTCTCTATGCCTTCCTCTATCTTAGATAGAAATTAAAGATAGTTATTATAATAACTATTATAATCCTAGGTACATAACCTCTAAGTATTATATATACTATTCGAAATAGTCTTATTATCTAGCTCTTATAATTAATTTATTTTCCTATAAAGTAGTTAGGAACTAAAATAGTATATAAGACTACTTTCCTTATTAAAATTTAAATATAAATATATAAAGACTAAGAACCTTACTATAGGCTATTATTATTAGCTACCTAAACTTAAATATATAAAATTCTTTACTTTATCTAATAGAAAACTCTACTTCTACTTTAATAACAAACTAGATTATCTCTATATTAGTATAAATAAAACTTGCTTAGTTATATTTATAATATATACTTATTAGAACTATTAAGAAGTCTATTCTAAGTTAAGACACTTTATCCTTATAATAAACTATTTAGTTTCTATAGAAAGTTAAAAATACTTGTTATTCTTTACTTAACTCCTTATCTTATTAAAGTTAAGGTTTAGCTCTATATAGGATAAGATTTTATATTAGACTATTTAAAGAGTAAGAATATTCTAGGAGGGTATATACTAACTTAGTTAAATATTTCTCCCTATAAACTTATTAAAGTAGTACTCTATCTCCTTTTCCTTACTATAGTCTAGCTAATAGTTAAGCTTTCTATATAAATCTATAAGGTAATAGTCTCTTTCTAGAACGAAGTAACTTCTTAGTTTATAAAATAGGAAAGGCTAATTATTATAGGTTGTAGCGATTGCGGCTAAAGTAATATATAAGCTAGGGGTAATAATAATAATTTAATAGTAGTAGTATTATTTATAAGGAATTCTTTATTTATAATTAAACCTTAATACTACTAATAGTAGTCTAGATAAGAGTAGGCTAATCTAAAGATATTATATAAAGATATAGTATACTACTATAGTCTCTAGCTATTATAGGAAGTCTTTTAAGTATTTACTATATAAAAGCAATTAATAAGGTTAGGGACTAGATAGAAGATCTCTAATTTTTTTTTAATTTAATATACTATTATACTTAAGTGTAGACTAAAATATCTATAATTAGTAGTTGCTAAAGTATTTATTCCTTATTACTAACTATTTGCACATTTACTTTATTTAATATTAACTTTGAAAATTACCCTATAAACCTCAATTCCTTATACCTCTCTTTTCGTAGCATAGCGTGAAGTAAAACCAAATCATTATAGAGATAAATGCTCTAAGTGTCAACTCCTCCATTGATTATGCCTCTTTCAACTCTCAAATGTAAATGCTGAAGATTTTTCCGAAGGTCTCTCCGAGTCGACTGAGGCAGACCTCTATCATGTGAAGGGGGAGAGAGATTGTGGGCTTCCGTCGCGCTCATATTAACGATTCCTGCTAGACATGCTTGTCGGCAACCTGGAATCTGAGGACACAAGCTGCCCCTTGAATAGGTGAACATTTACGACTAAATCAGAATCGGCTGCCAATTATTGAATGCCTACTATGGCACCGTGAGGCCCAACTTTCCCACCCACCCTCTCTTTGCTCTCCCTCAGACTTAAAGTACTTCGCACCATCATCTCCATCCAGTTTAGTATCCCCACATTCTCGCGTACAGATATCTGTCTCTCATGGACAATATTGTCAAATACGATCGCTAGACTATTGATGCCAGCGCCTGCCGCCGCGATCTTTCTTTCCCTTTCCCTTTCTTCCACTTCTACGGCCCCTGCATAGGTTCAGCCTCCACTAAGTGGGCATAATATCAAGTATGGTCCAGCCGGCAATTACCTGTCGAAAATCAAGCAATGTCAGATGTCGCGAAATGTGACGGTTGACAACGATTGTGCGGTTGAGAGAGGTAGAACAGATCAAAAGGTATGGCTCTAATTGTGGACAGGCGACGAGTCACAAGGAGAATGATACATGGCTTAATGAAGAAAGTCCAAAGTATCAGGTAGTTCTCGGTCTTAGAGCTAAAGAAAAGTGCTATACACGATAGAGCAGCGGCGGGAGGTGGCGACATATAGAAAGAATAGCTTAGGTCGGTAAGCGATAGCATAGTCTGTGATTATTCGGCTAAAGAATGACGAGACTAGATTGAAATATATGGTCTTATATCCTCTGAAGCGATATGAATCAAAAGATAAGTCTTCGGACAGAAGACCACTCGCTAGTCATGAAACACATCTAAGAAACTGTCTCAAAGCTACAATATTAGAACCACTACCATTCTGCTTCATCTCTTTTGCTGCCCGCCTAAATCACCTTCGTCTTCTATCTCTCGCTTACAAAAATTGTCTTGAAAGCTCCTTTTCTTTGATTATGACCGCGACTTCTAAGCTAGTTATGTCGATTGGATTATACGCACGTGAATTCTACCTCTTCCTCTATCCCCTCAGATTCCTCTAGCTCCACTAGAGTCACTTCTGCTGGGGGTACCTTAAACATTCGGCGTTTCTCGAACTCGCCGCTTCCCTCCGTGGTTTTGAAATTTTTAACCTTTCTCTTATGTTTTGAAGCTATTCCCAGCACGGCCTTATGCTCTTGCGTCTCTGTAGTGTCTTGTGTCTCTGTGGCCCCCACAGATCTCTCCTTCTCTTTTGTTTCTTCCGTCGCCTCAAACATTGCGGACCACCATCCGAAGAGAAGCACTAGCTGTGGCGATCCCAAGAGGATGAGCAGGAATCATGATATCGCGCTACAAAAGGCCACTAAGTTTGCTTGTGATTTAATGCGATGATCCTCAATCCTGGCATTCATGGTCCAACGGTGGGACTTGTCTGCTCCAGGTTTGAATGTCGCGTGTAGTTGGGCAGGCATATCGAGTTGGTTTCTGCTAGAGGAGAAGGATAGCGGTGAAAGGTAGGATATCCGGTTGGGAAGAGAGAAGCAGTTGATGTACTGAAGGTGCTGTTAGTCGGCAGCGACGGAAGGAAACTTTGGGAGAGAAGGTGAAGCACCATGAACGCTAATTTTTGGCGGCAGAAAAGTCTTTCGAGAAGACTCACATTCAGTTTAAAGATGCCTCGCCACACCGGGATACCTTTGGGAGTAGGAGAAGTAAGACGTACACGTTGCAAGGAAAGGAGCACATTTGCGTCGAAGAGCGATGAATGGGAGGATGTTGCGCGCGAAGGCAGGATGGTACTCTGGTGGGAAGTGCTTTGTCTCAGTGGATGGCGTTTGCGAAGAAGCGATATCGAGACATCACTGCGACTAGGGGCTAAGAGAGGGGGTGAATGACTACGAATGGTATCGGTCGATCGCGAAGACTAGAGGAAAGTTGGGTAAAGTGCTATTAATGCCGTAAAGTCGATGACAGGACATAGGTAAACGGATGGCTCACTAATGCTTCCCTGAAAGTATACTATACGAGGATAATTTCAGGAGTAGTGGAGTGCGTTCGCGAAGAAGGCGTGGAACCGGATGAGGTATGAGGTGTAGGTTTATGAACGGATGAGTTCCAGGCATGGGAGGCGGTTCCGGGTACATGATCGCGTGGAAGAACAGAGATCTTATGGAAAGCGCTTGCGCGAGAGGTTGACGTGTACGAGAGAGCATGTATTCGAAGCAGGGAAAGAGGACGGAAATGGCGAAGGATCGCGAATGCAAGGGTTGGTGACAGAGACGAAAGGAGGAGCCCTTGAGGAAGACGCTAAAATTGCTATTAGTTGGTAGCAAGAAAATGACTGAGGGTGGCACCTCTATTTGCTTTAGATCAGATATTTTGCCATATCAAGATACCTTTGCGACCACGAGGAGGGCGCCGGAGGGTGGCGGAGTGGGGTCAGCAGGTATGAGGCATTGAGCAACCGCAACTGTAATAAGTGAACAGTAAAGAAAGGCGAGGGAGAAGTGTGTGACTTACGATCCTGAAGGTATCATTTTGCCAGCCCAGGGTACCCTTTGGATCTGAGGAGAGCGCGGAGTGTGGATGACGGGGATCGCGGAGAGGGGGCGGCAGAGAAATCGAGAGCATTATCAATTCTGTTAGCTTGAGTAGTAGGCGATAGAATAGTGTACTCACGGCCGCGTGGGTGAGGTGTTGCTGAAGCAGTGTAAATTAGGGGGCAAACAATGCTGGGAGGTGGAAGGCTTCTTAGACCGGTCAGCAGAGGGCTTCCCCCAAGTTCATCATCCAGATAGCAGAGTATAGTTGTAAATAGTAGAAACTGGTAGTAGGTAGCTGGAGATGAAAGAGATGTTTAGAGATATTTTAAGTCAAAAGATAGGAATAGCAGGTATAGTCTGCGGAAGGCAGTGGGAAATGAAGATGGTTAGATATAGAGAGAATGGCAAAAGATTGAAAAGAAGTCAAAGAATGAAAGTATAAAGTGTGCAGCATAAATAGTGGAGATAAAAGAAATCTCTCGAAGTTAGGTCAGTTGAAGAGAAGGATCTTAAGAGCTGTAATGAAATGATATAGACTATGCAGATAGTTGAGATATAAGCAAATGCTTCAAATGTCGATTGATTCTTGAGATACTAAATGATACGCGAGATATCAGTAGATGGTAGTGATAGATGGTAGAGATAGATAGCAGAGAATATGTAGGTGGCAGTAGATGATAGAGATGCCGAGATATTGTCGTAGATAAATGACAGACAAAAGGTGGCGAGTGTAATCGTTTGGGATGATTACTGAAGATGTCAATAAATAGTAGTAGATGGTAGCAGATGGCAGCAGATGACAGTAGATGATAGACCTAACAGTAGATAGCAGAGATGCGAGCAGATTGTTGAGATAATCAAAATGCATTTGATAGATGCTTAAATCATTGCTTGAGATGGATTTTGAAGTTGTTAGTAGATTATAGTACACCGCAATAAATAGCAGTAGATTGGAGATAGATAGCAAGTAGATAGTGAAGAAAAAAGAGGAAGAAGAACAAGACGGGGAAGGAGAAGTCCTATATACCCAAGGGTGGAGACCTTCGGTGGAGCCAAGACTCGATTGAATTCGATCGAGGCTGTACGCCATCAACTTTGCGCCCGCGCTTGCGAACACATCACAGCAAGCCACGCGCCATCGTTCGCGCCCAGATGAGCATATAGACCATTTTTCACATCTCGTGGCTAATGGCCAATGGCTTTTAGTCGTGCGCCGCCTACGGATCGCGATAGATCCTTCGCTGAGGAAGTATTACGCCGACGCCTGTGGCGCATGAGGAGGCCAATGCCTCTGATCCATTGTATGCGATTTCGTCCAAGGCGGACCTCAAATTGAACCGGCGAACAATGTATTGTCTCCTACGCTTTCTCAATTGATCTACAATGGCTGCGCTGGAAACTTCAACTTTGAGACCATACTAGCTCCGCAATGCTATGGGGCTCGTGAACTGTCGCGACCGTGCTTCAACACTGTCATGATGATAATTGCAATTGTTGCGTGAATATATTCAGCTAGTATACAGCTCACAGTCGGATTGCGTTGGTCAATGGGTGTAAAGCACAGATTTGGCTTCAAAATAAGCGCGTTTAATCTAGGGCCAATATCCAGCATCGGCGTTAATGGCCGGTGGGACTCTGGAAGGCTTGGGTGAGAGCGAGAAGATCGCAGTCTCAGCACACACACCATGTTGTATAATTGGCCTATTGGCTCTTGCAAATGATGTATCATCCCAAGTCGTCGAAGAATCTCGTCCCACCCGAAAATCGTCATGTTCCGCGATGCACTCAGCCTCTTCATAGCCTTACACCTGGGTTGCATCTTCATGCCACGACGTTCTTTAGAGAATTCCTTGCACGCTCCTCATTACAACTTGGAGGTTAGCGTAATTGATCGAGGCAGTGGTCTGGTGTTGGGTCTTTAGTTCCTCTCAGGTTCGTTGTTGCCCCCAAATTGTAATTCTCCTCTCGGGTTTGTCTGACTTCCGCTTTGACCTCGATGGTCCACTCTTTGGTTGACACATTGCGCCACCACAACCATCTTCCATGCCTTCCCACTTAATTGCTTCGCTAACACTTGCAAAGGTCACTTAGGCGCGCCTTCAAGCACCTGGAAATAGTGGTTGACCGTACAAGCTCCACAGCTACAGTGATACACGCCGCGTACCTCGTACTGATGTCCAGCCTTGTGTCATTACCGCGAAGTGAAATTGGCAGTCGTCGAGTTTGCCGCTTGATCTTGTGAGCTGATGTGTAGAGACGATACCTTGAGGGATCCCTCCACATCTGCTTCTGACGTGCAAGTCCTCATGTCTGCTTTCGCAGCATCCCCCTGCGGTTGCAGCTAGATCCATAGCCTAGTTAGGTCAAGTAGCCCGTAGAAAGGCTCTGTATGCTCTGTCCTGTGAATTGACTCTCAAGTCTTCATTCTGAGTTCATTGTTATCTTCTTTCCTCGGTTGTATGACCCTGCGCTACGCTGATGCCTCTTCTCTTGTTTTCCTTCTACCTGGGCGCCAGCTCATCGTGCCCAACTCTTTATACGAGCAGGAGGAAACATTGTATGTGTAGAACTGTCGTGATTGTGTTTTACTGTCCACCTGTCAATGTTGATCTGTCGCTATTCCCCTGCCACTGCTCGAGAAGCCTCTTCATCGTCTGCTGCGTCCCCCACTTCTGCGGGTATCTCAAATCTCTCCCCATGCGGGAGTAGTGCTGCTCTATTGTGTCGCCAGAATTGCTCGCGTGCTGTGTTTCCTGCATCGAGGTCTTCAGTCGGGAGGAGGTAGGCTCTGGGGGGAAATTACTGCTAGCTGTCTGTCTTCGGTCAGCGCCTATTTGGTGAAAGGCAGAGTGGATGGTAAGCACTCACCTCTTCATTCTTGATTTCAGCGGCAGCATCGGCATGTCTTAGTAGCCCATCATTTGATTCATAGCCGCTGTCGAGAAGATGAAAGCTCCCCCACCACTTCTCGCCCCATCTGCGCTCATCAGCCAGACAACGCTTCTCGGCGACCTTGACAAGCTTCAGCATTTTTAATACAGGTCTGTGCCCTCTCCCATCGTTCTTTCCTCCAAGCTTCGGCGTTTATGTGTCTCGTCGACCTCCTTTTCGCCTGGTCCGCGGCTCCGTAGTCCGTTATGGCATTCTTGTGCGCACTCGCCCATACGTGTATTCGATCAGCGGCCTCCTCATCTGTTCGCCTTAGCCGATGATTTCGCACCGTTCAAGGGTTCAGCGCTGCGAGGTTTGGCAGTTCGGCTTGGTATGGCTTGCATATAAGCTATAGGTTCTGGCGGAGGGTCTTTTGGGTCTGGCGAGGCGGAGGATGCAGCGCGGGGGGATGAGGAGGAGGAGGAGGAGGAGGAGGAGCCATCGAAGGAGGACGCGATGGGAGGCAGTGCGTCCTCGGGCAATGCTGTGAGTATAATTATTTTGGATGGGCATAATCTTGCGTGGTTTCCTTAAGCTTGCCTTCTAAGATCGTGCTAGTCCCGAAAAAGGCTAGATACCTTAGGTCTTTTATTCGGAAGCGACGAAGTAAGCAATCTTAGTGAGACGACACTACTTATCTGACAATCGCTAAAGTATCGCTTCGAATACAGCCAACATTCAATAATATAGCGCACATGGAGGCGAAACTATGAGCAACTCTTCCAATTCGTATACTCTGAAGCTGTTAGAGTCTTTTCCCAGCCTTCCACTGATTGGCGCATACGGAAACCACTACTCCCCGAATGAATGTGCAATTCCTTGCAGCGGCTTAGATTTTGCAAATGTGAGTCCAACAACTGTGGATGAGAGCTATGGCCTCAACAGTCGGAGATGTAGCAGGTCTTGTCGTGTCTACCTTCGCCCTTTAACGCCATTTCAATGCAAGTTTTCGACCCAAGCCTGAACTAGAGCCTTGACTTGGTCTTCGAGGATTTCGCTTGAATCTCTGCTACTAACCTCAATCATCCTCTGTCCATTGCTATTCCAAATATCTATTATAATGCTAATGAGTCGCCGCCAAAACATAGAATGAACGCGCTTACTTGTTCATTTTCCCCCAAATACTATTATTGAAAAGAATGACCATACGCGCATAGAACAATTACTCTCTCGCAGAGCAATAGACTAATGTTATCTATCCATGAGCACTAAGTAAAGCAACAAATCCAATATCCTCTGAACTTGATGCAGTCAGTACGACTCGTTCTTCGAAACATTCTGCGGGATTTGAAGTACATTGCACAAGAGGCAAGTTGAGGATCATATGAAAGGCTTCTGAGGAAATGTTGCAATATGGTTTTTCGCAATAAGAGTAGAACCCTAGCGTATCAAGGGAAGCATTCAGTCATCAAGTGCTTGTCGTCACAAATAATTTGTTACCAAGATTCAGCGACTCAAAGCGACCCCGATCTCATCCCAACCCCTCTCCTTTAATCGACTTCTTCGCCATCGCTTCCTGGTGAGTCTTCTCGCTATTCCTAGTCTCGTTCGTCCCTCGCTTGCATTGTTTACCCGAGGTAATTATTCCACCGCGCCAACGCCGCATAATACCCCTCTTGGTATCCGTCTTCAAACCCCTCATCATATCCCTTATCGTATGCCTCTCGATCTTCTTCATCATATTCATCATCTTCCAAATTGTTGTCCACAGCATATCCTCCGCCATATGCCCCACTAGATGCCCCCCAGTATTCAACATCATCGTCATCCGCTACTTCTTCTTCGTACTCTCCACCCTCTTCAGGTCCATCGTTAGGGTCATCGAACCCTTGATTGTATGTCTCATCGTAGCCATCACGATATCCCTCGGCGTATCCCACATGAAGCCCTCTATCATATCCCTTCCTGTAAGGGTTTTGATCGTCTGAGTATGCGTACATTGAAGGAGCCGAGTACATACTCATCGGAAAGATTGCGCTGCGAGATTTTTAGTGCACCTCGATTCGGAAAAATGATGAGTCCACGAATAATCCTATGCACGCCCAGAAGGTTTGACAAAGGGATGATGAGATATGTTACTGAGGATCGAATCTGCAAGCGAGAGGGTGTGGCAAGGGTTTCAACGCCGTTCAGCCTATAATCGCTTCTAGATTGGATCAATTATAGAAGGATGTGCAGCTTAAAGCAGAGGCTCTGTGATTCTAATCATTCAATGAAGGACTGTGATGCTGGAAATTGAATTAGCAAGAGCGATGGACTGGTGTCGATTCATATGTTGCGATCCAGACCCCAAAGTCTCTCAATTGTAATGCCTGAATCTTGTAGCAAATATTTTGAAGAGAGGTTTTATGTCTCGGAAGATCATACGCTCTCTTCAGGCTATAATGAGAACGCAGCAAATATTCACACAAAGCGCTTATGTCTCAGAAGACTGCACGTATCCTTGATATTGACCAAGTTCGTGCGACGGCATCTCGCCAGACCTCGCAGCAATTATCGGTACAAAGCCACCATGTCTCGGATGATGTTTCCAGGTCTTCAAACTCTCCGGACTCTTGCATAGGGTGGTATCTAGCTTTTCTTTGCAACAAATACGATGGACAAGGCAGATGCCTAGGCTGAGCTGCATCAAACAAATCAAAAGAAACATGATCCGACAATCAGCAATCAATGTGCCGCTTTCGGAAGGTGATACATACACCAATAGAAGGAGCATCCAAAGACACCAACACCAGATTCATGCTGCATTGATTATGTGCCCGTTCTTATCTTTGATGACGGTGCACCTGCTCCCAGTAAAGAGAAAGCCGACATTCAATTCTCAGCGACAGCCTCTTGGACATTTCACGTCGCAGCCATCAACGGGCGCCTTCACAAGGGCAAACCAACGCCCAACCACCTTGAAGCCGAAAAGAATTCTCGATACGAATATACACCCTATCACTCCACATTTTCATAAATAGGATATCGAATCTGACCATCTTTCAAGCATTTCTATTTGTATCCAAGTCCCAGATTGGACGCGTTTAACCTAACACCAAACTTCGATACCCACCATTTGCGCAAGACTCCCCAGACTTCTATGCTATACGTGCTCTTTGATATCGATGAACGAATTGCGACTACTGTTCTTTTATGCTTGTTTCTCGCCTTCTCCGGCCGTAACCTCCCTTGCTCTATGTACTCCTTCCAGACGTTGACGTCGTATCTCTAAATCGAAGTCTACGGGTACTTTGGAAGATCAGCACATCTGCTCTACTTTTTGCGCGATTTCTTTGTTGCAAAGGACAATCATACATGACACACGATTCATGACAGCGCTGCCAACAGGTGGTAAGGATTGGGCAGGCTTTGCGAGTGATGCGATTTACTAATTCCTCACAAGCGATGACAACGATCCCACGAATAGGTAGATAGAATGCTGCAATGGAAGGGATTTAGGGACGATCAGGAAGACATGTTGCAAAAAGAGGGGTGCGCAAGATCAAACGCACGTAAACGATTAGAAAGACATATCAGCATGCGAGGCCAACTTCAAGTCCGTAGTATTAATTGATACTGATGTGCGCATCCGCGCTCTATTCCTTTAAATATCTGCTTTGGGTATCACATTTTCGCTTCGGAGCGTGCCATCTATCTCATCCCGAACGTCTTATCCCATGTAATGCGTTTTGCTGTATTGGGTATCACATATTCGCTTTGCAGCGTTCCCTCTATCTATCGTGACTCGTCGTTCATGCATGATCGTAATCGCAGGCTATGCAAACAAACGAAGAAAGTACTTTTCACCACCGTCCCCCCTTAGACCCCATTAAGCAACACTTTCGATCGGGCCAGCCACCGCATTCTGATTTTCTTTCTTAGGCGACATCTTGAGCTTCTTGTTGACATCTGCCTCCCCTAACGGCCGCTTTCTCTTCTTACTCCTTGGCTCCTCTTGAATCTCCTTATTTACCCCCTCCTTGTCCTTTTCTTCGACAATTTTCGCATGACTGAAATCCACAAGTGTCACCCTCTTCTCCCGCTCATCCCAAAGGACATTCCTTCCCTCAGTGTCTCCGTGCAACACACCCCTCCTCAAACATTGTTGCGCCAGCTGAAGCGCCTGATCCTGGTGCCCACTGCAATCGGACCCGGCTGTCGCGTGGCCAGCATACGACATGAGCAGCATGTGACCAATGCGATCGACACCACATCCAACAGAGTACGGGTAGCTAAGGCGTAGCTCGCCAAGGCAGATGGGGATAACGGCTCCCTGAATCTCTTGAAGTTTGTCGTAGATTTGCGCTTCGAATTGGAGTTCGGGAACGAGTCTGGGAATAGTGCCTTTTGCGACGAAGACGTAGCCGTGGGAAAGAAGGCAGAGTTTGAAGAGGTAGCCACGTGCGCCTCGGAGGTCGAGTTCGTGGCAGCCGGCATCGAGGTCCTCGTCGAGTTCTTTGCGGAGAAGCTTGATGAGTTTAGAGGGCGTGATACTGTGGTGGTTAGTGGAGGTGGCGTGGTGGGAGGCATAATTAGGGCAGTCACGATCGAGTGGAGTTTTCTTAGCGAGGCTGAGAAGACATGATCGTGTGCAGTATTCGCGAGTCTCAGTAGGTTCTTGGGGAGGATCATGTTGTCGATCGGATTGCTTCTGATGCGGTGACGAGATAGGGGGTTTTGATAGAGTAAAGAGACGCCGTGCTGTTGGACGGGCCCCTAGGAGGTTACTATCATCCTCGTCTAAGTCATCTTCGTCCGAGTCATCGTCGTCTTGTTGGGTATTGGCGTTCGTAGATCCCTTGCAACTTTGCTTGGCTTGTTGCCGCTTTGCTTGGACTGGTGTTCCATCATCTACCCACTCCGATTCTGATACTGTGGCGTGCGTCTTAACCGTAGAGGGCATTTCATCGAGTTTATCGCCGTCACCAGCTACCCATCTGTATTTCTTAGCCCTCTGTTGCCAGTCATGGCTCGCTTTTCCCGTACTACACGCCAAGAGACACATCGCTAGGAGTTGTGCAACAGCTGTATTCTTGGGGTTGAAGCCCGGCTCCTGGCTGCGAGGCATCTGGCCCGGAAAAGTCAGAAAATACCGAATTCGGTTGGGCTTATCCGGAGGTATATAGAGCCAAATGTATACTTCACCAGTTGTGATGTATCCAAAATGGAGGCGAGCGGAAACCATGGCATCGAAGGCTTGGGTGATGGCCTTGGCTATGAAGTCCTCAGCTCGGTCAACAAACCTCTCTTGTATGGCAGTAGGAATGGTCACTCTGCGAAGGACCTCTTCCGTTGCGATCGTATGAATTCCGCACTTGAGGTACTCGCTCGCCAATTTATGCGGAGGCTTGAATTCGGCAACCAGGATGACACGCATCTTACCATCCATACTACCCATGACGATCATTTGGTCTGCGTCAAGGTACGATGGACGCTTGTGGACCTCTGGTACCAGGACTGAGGTTGTCGGCTTCCTCGCATTGGGTCTGCGAGCAGTTGACGTTCGACTGGCTTGTGAAGCTACGGCCAGGCGGCTGGGACCTCGCTCGTCATTGATGAATTTCTCGAGTGTGTTGCCATGATTCTCGAATTGGACCGCTGATGCAAGCCTCAAATTTCCCCTTGAATCTTCAGGCAGTTTACAAAGAGCTCCCAGGATACTGGTAACATATGTTTGCACAGCTCTCTCGATCCAAGAAACGGTGTCATCTTCACTACCAAGTGCTTTACTCAGATGTTGGCTTGAAGTCTGGAATGAGATTACAGGATCGAAGTGACGGTGAGTCGATTCAGCCGTTGGTCTTAAGATGCGAAAGACTTCAGACATCTTGCTGTTAAGCAGCGATTGCAGCTCACTGCATGGTTCAATCACTAGCGGACGGTACTTTCCTGCGACATCAGTGGACTTGCCTTTCGTCGAGAAATTTTTCTCTTTGATTCGGAGGGAGAGTTGTAGGTAATCATGGCCACATATCAAGCATTCATTCAGCGTTGTCAACTGCGTCTGTTGCCTTGACTGATGCAGCTGCTGTGTTGCTTCCTGTAGCTGCTGTTGCAATTCCTGATTTTGTGCTGCTGCTGCCTGCTGCGCATTGATCTTGTCGGTACGTTGGCCTTCTTTAAGCAATCGGATCTCCTCTCGGAGTTGTGCATTCTCATCCGCATCACTCATTGCGCCAGACTAAAGAGAGCGCGCGTCTGCAAAAGCTTGGAAAGCTGCTGTTGATGGTGGAGAGCAGACGTAGGAAAAAGGAAAGTGGTACAAGAGCGGGGCGCGTCATAACGCGTAAGCGCGCGTTATCGCCGTCCGTAGTCGATTCTACGGCAGACCAGAACTCAACTCGGCTTGGAATTCGGAAATCTGACAATCCCTTGGCAAAGAGCAACGTCGAAGAAAGGCGAAGGAATCCCTAATCAGCGAATCGCGCCTAGACATATGCCGCTCACAAGTCACATTGCATTAGAGTTGATCGCTTCTATCTCATCCAAATTTGCTCGCAAAGAGCAATGCATCATTCTCTCCCATCCTCTAGCCTTCTTTGCGCACAGAGCCTCATTCAAAGACAGAACTTCATCCTTCCATTTCATATTTGATCAATACTTGCAAAGGAGGCTTAGATGCCACGCAGCCTGGGGAGGATAGCAAAACTTGGCACATCATACTCGAAACCTGACTTGATTTCTTTCGGGGTTCGAACACAACGTTCGAGAGGTTTCGGCGACATAATGTCACATGGATGTGCGTACTAATGATCTGGCGGTTGATCATGGCTGTTTGCGCGGTTCAGATTCGCGGAATAACAGCCTGGCGACCCGTCTTCAAGTCATCCTAATTGTCTTAATTGGGAAGAAGTCTTTTCAAGGCAGCGAGTGAGGAGATCTTTCGTGTATCTGAGTTCGCGTCTTGGAGAGCTTCGTACTCTTTTTGCGAGTCACGCATAGTTCAACAACGAACTAGTTGTTCAATTGAGTGAATGAGGTCTCTGAGTACTTGATTGAACATTCCATTCGATAACCAGGGGAGAAAGAGGCGGTAATGAGGGCTACTTGCATGTTCGGTACGTAGACTAAACGCGTCTGGTTCTGCACATATATCACGCCAAGGCCCCCCAGCATAGATGAACATCGGTATGGCTGGTTGTGCACGCTGAGATGTTAGACTGCATGCGGCTTCTGGTGTAGAACATCATCCAGAGATCGCTCTTCAAAGTACTCAGGGATCTATAAGTAATTAACTTGAATTCATATCACAATCAAGACCCAACCAGGTCAATTGACCTGCATTATGGCATGAACAGTCTGTCTTGTTCAATTAAATACCGCAGTTTGCGAAATTCAGCTCCGTTGGTGCCATTGCTCCATGCTTCCTGAGATAGGGCGCGCACAGTTCCTCCTCCCCGAACACGGCTCCTTAGAACATGTATACAACATAAGCAAAGAGAGTTGCGAGATTTTCAAGCGTTCTGCTAATGGCTCTTCTCTTGTCTTCCTTATCGTCTCTGAACAGCCACGGTGCATAGCCTCGAGTGTTCAATCTCTATGCAAAGATGGTACATCTCCTGAGGGCAAGCGCCAAAGCGGCCCAGAAGATGAGGCTCCGCAACCAGTCGAGCGCACGAGCGCATGGGGATGTTCCCCCTGTATGAAAGCTGGCTGGCCATATCTTGACTTCATGGATAAATCGTCGCTTGAGATTTATCTGCATTGTAACTGATGCGCCATTGAGATCGAACATCCGTCGGACCAACGTTCCGTCATGCCCTTGATTCGATCTTGGTCTTCGAATGCTTGAGAGCGACCCGTGCTTGGAGCGGCGAAGACTCGCTCAGCCAGTCTCCGCATTTCCCACCTCCCTTGCTCCTGCTTTCCGAGATTTTGCCATTGCCGCAGATAAATCCCGACTCTCCTCCATTTTCACGCTTCTTCTTACTGCCGTCTCATAAGAAGCAGCGTTCCGCTCCCAATGCGAAGAATTCTTCAGCCCAATATTCTGCGATTCTCTTCATTCTTCAAGTCCTTGGAAACCAAACGTATTGCCTGCAGCGTTGATGCGGAGGGAGCTTTGTTTAGGACTATGAGCCTATCGTCACTCGCTTGACAATTGTCATCCAGCTGTTGTTGAGGGTAAGCTGAAGCAGATGCTTGTGGAGGAGTAGGGAGACAGTGTCGGGAGGGGGAGGCAGAGGACCGTGGCGGGACGTGGAGATTGGCTTGGGAGCGGTGGTGCAATGCGTGTAACATAAGTCGCAAAGCTCAATGAGGCACTTGCCGGGTGAGCTGGCTCTTTTGGAGCTGGTGGTGGGTGCTGATGGACTGGAGATGGTCAAATTGATATGGAAGACGATAAGGATGATGCGCAGCTGTTTTAGGCTTAGTCTAAGGGCTGAATCTCCGAGTGAAAGAATTGCGAGATCAATTGCGGCTCTCCTCCCAGCCACCAGAATCATCCTCCCCAAGTACCTCATCCAACGTAAGCATTGCCCTGAAAGCTCATGACAATCATTCGCTTTCGAGAAGCCTAACTCACTTCACCGCCACCAAGTCCCAGACAGACTCGCCTCTTCTTAGCCAGCGCTCACCGACTCCTGCACATCCTTCAATCGGGTCTGGGCAAGTCTACCTCCGCAGCCATTGGCTCAGCCTTACATCCTACCTCAAGAATTGTCATAGACCGCGCACTGCTTTCGAAGCCTCCGCTCACGGAGTAGAGCTTGTCGATACCTCTCCGCTTCTGCTGGTGCCTCGCATACATCCCAGCCCATTGACTACACAAAGGTGTCTGAAGCTCGTGTGGGACCCACGGAAAGTGTTTTGGGTCGCACACGAGGCTAACCCGTACAAAACGGCTGCAGAAGCAAGGGAGTGTCACACGGGCGCATGACGACAGAAGATCAATGAGGGTCGAGCGAAACGCGTAGGGTTTGCTGGATTCAATGTGGAATGATCCGGATGAATCAGAGTATCATGAGGGGGAAAGAAGCGCAGGAGAAGATTGGGCAATGCTTTCAAGAGCAGTTCGCAAAAGTGAATGGCGAGGGCGGCCAGAGAGGACGCGACCGCCGAGTAAGCCAGAAGAGTGGTAGAAGGCTTGATCATTGCAAGGCTTTTTGAGATGTCGAACAAGTGCGGCAAGAGGGGGCTTGGGGGATATGAAAGATCAAGGATTGATCGCAACACGTTCAGAGGTGATAGCAAAAGCTGCAACTTCTTCGATCGATGGGGAAACACAACCTGTGAGCATGCAACACGAACCTCCTTCGGCAACGGTCTTAAGAATGAGGACGGCGACGCCGTTCGCCTTTCAGTACTCGATTGGAAAGGAACACGCCCAGGAAGAAGGAGGCGGAGAGCTACAACATTGCCCTTATAACAGGATATGTTCGTGGGGAGGGAAATTGGCCGCCTCCGTGTTGCGCCCTCGCTGGGTTCTGCAACTTTAGGGATATCAAGACCCACGAAGACGACGGCATCAGCATATTGGCTCATTCTACTTCGCGCACACGAGCACAGATTGCGCCGCCAGCTTGATAAGTTGACCTTTCTGATCCATGTCCGAAAATTGTTCACCTCTTCGCTATCCATGATGGCGAGGCGGAGAATGACACGAGAAAGATGAAAGGTGTTGGCAGAGGTAGTGCGCGCAGTGATTATGCAATCAGCCAACATCTACCGTGGATGCTGGCGTTTCAAGGTCGTAGGAGCATGCTGAGGCGCCAAGGTAAGAGCTTCGATTGACCATTCGTCGTTTCGATGGGACTTCGCACACATCTCCAACCCCCAAGCCCAGATTTTCACTCCTACTCATACTCGCCTCGAACCCCGCTGCTGTCTGATCGCCTTCGCTTGATTAAACAATGGTTCTCACCATCAATCTCCTTTCTTTGTGCGAGGGGCTTCATTCAGCGATGTTATTCAGCGACAATCGCAGGGCTTTCGACGTCATCAGCCTGCAACAATATCCGATGTCTTGCGAACCAGATGTTTGGCAAACTGCGAGGCTTGCACACCTAGTCTCATTGACAGTAGTCAGTAGGATTACGGCTACCTGATGCGCACGCCGTACAGTTGAAATTCTTGGGCTATTGCTGATTTCTAGCCCTGCAAAACGCATATTGACGTGCTTTTGATATTTTGAAGGCGCCGGTGGCTCTGCATGAAGACCTTCTAAGGTCTTTCCTTCACGGCCTATCGCGAGAATGCAAGCACTACAGGACCACTTCCTTGGTCATAATGGATCGGGCTGTGGTGGAGCAAGCTTAGCCATAGGCGATAGACATCTATAGGTCTCACCGGATTCGCAGAGCCAATACCCAACTTCAGTGCTCTAGGATAGCATCCCAGCCGATGGTGGCAGGTACTGCGAGACTGGGATTGAGCATGTCAAAAGAAAGCGGCAACTTACATTTCAACCTGTATCTGGAGACTTGTCATATCAGTCCATTGCTGCTTGGAATACTCAACCTATGGCTGATCTTATCTTGCATCGCATGTTAGAGGACATAGAGGGGACGAATTCGTGCAATCTTTGAGAACACTGCTATGTATCCATCCGGCTGCCTTGGATAGAGAAAGGATGTCGATAGTAAGGGTACTTCGACGACTACTGCAATGTACAAGACGCAAAGTTCGGTGTCATAGCGAGAAGATACTTTGAGTTTTCGCCTTAAGGATGGCAGATGCGGCGATTATTGTGTACGTGGCAAATCGAAAATTGCTTTAGATCGAAGTCGGTTCTGCCAGCTACGGTCCCTTACAGCCCAAGCATCTTCTTAAATAGTCTTTGTCTCCTCCACGCCAACAACGGCAAAAGGGTGCCAAGGAGAGCCAGGTACCGTCTCGAAGATTGGTATCAGCTTTGGTCAAACTTTCACAAGTGGCTTCTTGGTTGCCTCTCCCAGTAGATAAAAAGAGTGACCAACAACCGGCGAGACAAGCAATTCCGCAGAGACGCAAGCTTGGAATTCAGTATGCGGCTTATATGCAGGCTCTTTACATATGTCACCATCCCAATTTGAGGCATGCCTGTGGGCGCAATGACTGATACGCATGACACTGAATCGTCCAATCACCTTAACATCTACGTCATCTCTATGAGATCATCCTCTTTTCTCGTCTTTCAGGAGTTCTGTCGTACTGGCGACGTTCAGAAAGATGGCAGGGGGGCGAATGGCA